ATTCATTATTGAAATTAATCCATGATATATCGTTCGTCAAATCTCCTATTAATAAATTGCAGACTTTTATGCGTTTATAGAAAAATATTCACAGAGAACGCAGATTTTTCTACCTTAGAAAGTTTTAATTATATTCTTAATTATACTTTTAATTATATTATATAAAAATATCTACAGAGAATGCACATTTTTCTACTGTAGAAAGTTTTATTTAATTATATTCTTAATTATATTATATAGAAAAGTATTTACAGAGACTGCACATTTTTCTACTGTAGAAAGTTTTATTTAATTATATTCTTAATTAATATTTGTAATTATATTCTTGAAAATAATACCTGCAGTCTACTTATTAACTTTTAAAGGACCGGTATTTCTTCACAAAAATAGTGGTTCTATCTATATACAACGTACACGTTGTGTAGTATTTAAAATATTACGATCTTTTTCAGATTTAATATATTTAAGCTTTAAATATTAGTATAAATCTTTATCTCATATATGTACTATTAATATATTAGTAACCTACCTTAGTATCCATTAATAACATTTATAATGTTTGAATGTATACGAAAGAGATATCAATTATTACTATTAATTTTATTTCTTTTCATTCACGTAAATATTCCGTTAAAATACCGTGCGCTTCTAATTTTTTATTCATTTCTTTTCCACGCTCGTTAACACAGCAAACTTTATTCATTACGTTAGCACTCTATTGATACAACGTAAAAACTCTATTGATACAACGATGAGGGAGATGCTGTTTAAAAATCGTTCTACGTCTTCATCGCGTTTCGGTTAACCAAGGTTCTTTATGAAAGGAACGCATCAAACGCAACATCGATCGGACTCCTCGCGATTGCGTGTATCATGCATCGTGTTCAACTGCGCACTGTATCAGCGTTGAGTATTGTTCGAATAGTTTTTATTTAAGGAAAAACAATATTCTCGGTACTCTGTATGTTTCTATTACGCAATGCAGTTTCTCGATTAATCAGTTTTATTATCGTCAAGTAATTGAAAAACGAAATAGTATTGGTAAATTGAAAACAAAATAGTATGGTAAATTGAAACTGCATAAAATGTATAATGTGTACTGCATAATGTAATATGTATATTAAATATCCGAAATACAGCGTTTACTAAAATATTCAGTATGTGAAACAAATAGTTACCTACTCTTTTAATGTTTTTTTATATATTTTATATATATAATAAAATATATATATATTATTGTATGCTATGTAAGTTGGTTTTATATCATACTATTTTGGTATTTTTGTATTTATACTCTAAGAAGATTGTACGGAGAATGAGAAGGAGCGGAAATTGTAACCCTAAGGGAAATCAATAAAAAACCTATCTATCTATCTATCTATATATATATTAATTATATATTTATTCGTAATCTAATTATTATCTATTTTCTTCAACGATTGTAGAATAATACGAATTTAGATAAAATTACAAAGTCTCTTTGCTTTAAAAAATTCAAACAAATAAATTTGATTAACCTTCTGTTGAATAATTTTCATTTGTTCGTAATTTTGTTCTTTATACGAAATTACGTTATATGATTTTTACTCAACACTGCATTATGCATCGCATGCCCGTGTAACCATGTCGTTACACCGGCCATTGCAGTATTTTATACGGGAACAGAACAAGTACATAGGTACAACGTTCACGAGACTTTCCTCAGACAACAGGTAGACCTCGAACTCGGTAGGCGGAAAGCCTACAACTCGTGGGATTGGGCAACCATGATGCACCTTGATAACCGTGCTTAAGTGTAGAACGAATATCGACCAGAGAACGAGAAAGGAAAAAAAAAAGAAACCGTGGAGGAACAACGAACCGTGAAAAACGATCGGTCGATCGAATCGAATCGGTATTCGAGCGTTTGCTGATGAATAAAGAAGAGAGGTTATCGACACCTGTTCTGTTCCTCGTATAGCTACAATGAACACTTGGAGCACAATAGAGTGCTGGTCATCTAGCTATCGATTGTTCGAAACGACTGATTGTGCAAACGCTTTGTTCTTCATTTTTTACCCTAACTATACAATTAGGAATTTCCTCGTTAAATTAGTTTGAAAAATATTGCACGTACAAGAAGCAATATCAATTGAAGAAGGATAAAAGATATAAATTTGTTGAAGATGTTTACTCTTAAATATTCGTGAATTTTACAATAACTAGTAGATTGAATTTTTATACAAATTCATATTTTTGCGAGAGTAACTAAAAAAGAAAAACAGGTTTGACATAGTACAACAGATTATTTTGAATGTTTTATGTAATTCCTTTTTACACATTTTGAATATTTCATATATTTTTGTACATTACGTGAATTCTATAACCTTTCAATTCTTCATAAATGCATAAAAATCCGCAATGTAAATCAGTATTCCTAAAACGTTCGGGAAGATGAGAAAAACACGTGCCCTAGGTCACATGAAAATACAGCCTCGGTGATATATAATTGATTGACGGCCCGATGAATATTAAAATATGTATATAACTTTCTCTCAAATGATTTCATATCTATCATATAGATTTAAATAAATTGTCCTTTTCTTTTCTAATTCTTTCTCATTAATAAAGATATTTCAATCTATTTTACAATGAAAAAATGTAGTAAGTACTTGGACGTTGCAAAATTATAATTTTTAATGATAGACGTTATACGAGCCCAACAAACCTGTACACGCAAGAAAAGGATTGTAATTCGCATTTAAGTAAGATCAATCAAATAAGTAAAATTACTTAATGATCTAATGAACCGTAGGCTGGCATTGAGCGATACTTCGAAGTTTCATAGAGACACTAGGAAATAATGGATATATGTTGGAAATTATGATTACAGCGAAATTATGATTTGCTATTTCAAGAAATATCCAGCTATACAAGGACAACGTTAACACCGTTTCCATTCTCGTTTGAGTTGAGAAACATCTCGAGAGAAATAATTTCAATTTTTCTTTAGGTGAAAGATTTACTCGTAACAAAGAATTATATATACATATGTATATGTTTTAAAAATTTAGGAAAAAATGTTTCTTTAATCTCTTAAAATCCTCAGTTGCATATGTGAAATTCGAAATGAGAATACTGAATTTATTTGAGTAGTCCTGACTTTTTATAACTCTGACTTTTTTATAACTCTGGTATCACATGTGTTTTGCTGTTATAAAGCAGAGTTACAGAATTTTCGTGAATATTTCTGAACTAAAATAAAATATATATACAGTGACTCGTGCGAGCCACGATATTTATCCACAATAATTTGCCGATTTTTAATATATTAAAGCAAATATTTTATTTGTTAATAAAAATAATCTCTAAATTTCATTAAGAATTTTAATATTAATACAAGTCATTGTATATACATACATTTATTAAATGATAGGTTAAGTGTAAAACAAATCACACTTCGTATATTATTATATAATAAAATATCACAAAATTATTACCAAAAAAAAATATTATTACTAACAAATTTCTTAATATCCTCTACGATCATTATTATAGCCATATAAAGGTATTTGACCTCCAGTCGAACAGTTATTTAGAATGTCTCATCCCGAAGATTCATGATTAAGCCAACGCTATCGAGTCGCAAAATGCAATAAACATGTTGCTGTATCGACGTAGTCCAACATTCCGACTAGTCTAGCTGGAAAAGCTAGAGGATAAAGAACGAGTCAGTGGCAGGCAACCTGTTATCCAAGAGGAAACAGGTCGAAGAGAAGGATGATGAAAGATACGATGCGTAGCAGCTGTAAAAACAACTTGCTGGAATTAATTGGCTCGATATACGGGAAGTCGTGCTCTGAATTGGGTCGAATTCGTATGGAAGAGAACGGTTTCGACCCCGAGAATTCGTCATGAATAAAGAACAATAGAAAGAAGAACCATCGTTGGTACGAATATTAACACGCAAAAGTATCCGGACGTTGTACTCTCAACAAGATTTTAATCGTATAATTAGCATTAATATCTTTTTATAATTATCGCAGCTACATAAAATAAAATACTGTGTAACTTGATTAAACTGGATAATACGAAGGTTACGAGGAAAGGTTGCGTTACTTTTCTATCGAAAAAAAGTATATTGAGTAACTCTAGTCTAGAGACTTTTAATTCGTGTACAAAGACAACACAGCAAGAGTGCCCTTGTAACACTTAAATAAAAGGTGGATGCGTAATAGCGTTTGAATTTAAATATCGTGGAAAAGCTTGCTCCTCCAGAGCTATTAGATTACGAAAACTTTTAGTATCCCATTTTACATGATAGAATCGTTTTTAAAAGTCAGGTTCTACGGAAATTACGTAACAGGAACCACAGAGACAACCGCATTAGTTTGCACAACGCTAACAACTTACACTTTACTTTGTTGTATTTAAATGGCCGCGACTCAGTTTCACTTTTCTTGTTACATTTGCATATAATACTAGCTAAAATATACACTTTGATTATTTTTATAAATAAAGAAATTCTGCTGTTATCCTAATCTACATTTCCCGCTTCAAATGTCATCCTTTGTTTTTATTCGTGAGAATCAAAAATAATAAAATTAAACGGAATGTTGAAATTAATTATTTAAAATCCGTTCAAATAATATTCACTAAGATATAATACCTATTTCAGATGACATAAGTTTGAAAAGAATGGCTCCTATTCACGTAAACTATATTTCTAATATATTTCCAATTTTTTTTCACGCACGTCATTATCATAAAGCAAATTTATTGGTTAAATGACGATCTCCTTTGTTCTCTTTGACGTGCCAATTTTGAACTTGACACGGACGAATGAAACAAATCGATATGCGATCGATATCGCAACCGTGAACTCGAAAGTCGGCAATTTGACCGCGAGAATGTTACGAGCATGCGCAATGCGGTGGACAATGGACAGCGCGCATCATCGAGCATCGAATCAAGGAAATAGCGCGGGTCCCGTTGAAAAGAATTTCAAAAGCATGACTCACCGTCAGGATTGGTGAAATATCCCCAGGTGGGGGTCGCGGTGGTCGCCGATTGGAGGACCAAGGCCAGAATACTGAGGGCCAAAGCACCAGCGGCGCCTCGCGCCGCGACGGCGCGTTTTTCGCTTCGTTGCGGATCGGTTGTCGTTGTGGCGACCGCCCTTACACCTTGACGGTTGTTCGAATCGGTTGCCATTCTTCATGCCGTTCTCGTGTCTTCGTCAATCTCGTTTGCCACGCAACAATCCAATAAAAAAAGAAAAAACACACTTCCTCCTTTTACTCTCCTTTTACTTCCCTCGTTGTTGTTTAATCTTTCCTTCACACCGATGTATCACACTCTTTGATAAAACCGTAACGATCTATCCCGATGTCCTGTACGTATATGCTGGCAAATCACATCAGTGACAAACATCTCGACGTACTGGATAATCGGATGTCATACACTCCCGGCACGATGTCACGTAACACGATGTCGTGTATGGACAGGCGCGTGCATACACGCAATCGATAGTTCGAGGTGGGAGAAGAAAGAAAAGAAATAGGGAGAGGTGTGTATCGGCTTAGGCGAATTCCACGCTCCGTGTCACTCTTTCTTTCTTTCACCGTCGACGGAGAGGGAAGCATGCTACACCTTTTATATCGCTCGTGTCTCTCTCCCTCACGCTTCCTCCGATTCAGCTGAAACCCTCCTCGCGTATATACGCACCTTACTACCTCGTGGCTCGTAGCCTCTCAGAGACTCGGGAACCGGTTTTTGCGATGCGCGAACCGGCGTTGGCTAAAAATAAAAGCGCCTCGGTTTCTCTCTCTCTTTCGTTACTTCGTTCGCCCCGTCGGTCGGTTTTCTGTCCTCCCCGTACGTGTCTCTTGCTGTGGAGAAGAATCTTCCGGAGGTTACTCTCTCACGAACGTTGTACGCGCGCACGCACCGACAGGATACGTCGAGCGTTCGATTACGAGAGATCGAATCGCGCGCGCGTCGATCAACAATCGCATTCACCACCTGTCATCGCTATTTATCGACGGATCAAGATGGCGTACGAGGAAAATTGCTTCCTGAACAAACTCCAAGCTTTTCACTCCGGCATTCCGGATGCTTCCCCCGGTTGTCCTCGTGTTTCTACGGAATGTTACTCTCACGTCTGCGTTTCTTGCTACGAGCCAGTCGAAATTATTGGACAACTTCTTCGGATCGTGTCTCACGAAGGTACGAGAGCTCGAGAAGGGAATAGGTGGCTCGCTAGGTTAGGTTCGTGCGCGCTGGATGTATACGAACTGCTTGTTATTTACTGTGGTGCTATAGTTATCGATCGTACGAGGATATACCCGGTTCATTTCGTGCCACGTCTCCTTCTACGCGTTTCGTAACCGCTTCAACACACGCTGCGTCTCGCTAGACCTTTATTATCCGCATCGATTGTTCCCCAGTTTCCAATCCAGCTCCGTATCGATCGTTCGATTTAAAGATCCGTCTAGCAGTCGTGCCGTTTCCCGCTCTTTCTCGCGACGCCTTTCGCTCCGAGCGACACTCTCCTTCTCCGGGAACCTCACGCACCGTGTCACTGTGTCACGACGTATGCGGCCCTCGTGTACGCACGCACACGCGTCGATAACAGGTTCTCGATTAAATTCGAACCGCACGGTGTACTCACGATGTTATTGTACACGGCGAACGAAATATGCGTATACGAGAATTTCGTGTTGGGTTTTTCTGGCGTACGTGATTCAACGGTGGGAGGATATGGGGAGGGGGGAGGAAAAAAAAAGAAGTTAACGGAACGACGACGACGACGACGACGACACGTAAACGCGAAAACAGCGACCCGCGAGATGTTTGTACTTGCGTATTCTAGCCGCGCTGCGTGCGTACGAAACAGCGGGAGAGAGAAAGAGAGGGAGAACAAGGAGAGAGAAGAGAGCAAGGGAGACAAGAACAGAGAGAAACAATACGCGTACGCGAGCCTGCGCGCTGCGCGGCATACTGAGGCGACCGGCACCGTCAAGCTGACTCGAATGCTCTCCTCACCGTCGCGGCTTCTCCCTCCCTCTCTCTCGCACCATTTACCGCGGCCACTACCCAACCTTTTGCCCTCTCTTTCTCGCTCTTGCTCTCGCTCGACTCCCGTCCCTTTCTTTCTTTCGTTCTTCCTCCCTCTACACTTGCATTTGCATTGCTGTCGTATGCTTTCATACTCGCCGCGGCCCTGTATGCCCGTTACAATTGCATTCTTGGAATGAAATGCTCTTCAAGCATGCATCTTTTCCTTTTTTTTTCCTTTTTCTTTCACGGTCAACTTGAGCGTCTGGTCGAAAGAATAAATTAGCCAATAATTCGCGGGTCTTCGATGTGACAAATGAAGCGTTAATTTAATTGGTATTTATCGATTGTTAACAGGTCCACTGCTGAAGCGTTTTTGTACATTAGGAAGCATCAGGAGGATATAATTTATTATCTACAGTATTAAGCTTAACTCGGATAGTTTTATCGATGATTTATTGAATGAATGTGAAAGGAAGAGGTACTTATATTTTATTTACTCTTTTTTTTTTTGTAAATTTCTTTTAACAATTTTCTTACGTGATACAGGTTTTATCGCTCGTTTCATTTAACGCTATAAAGGATGAGGCCTTGAAACATTGAATTTAAAACTGGAACGCATTACCACATGATGCGCATGTTTTGGATCTTGAAGTTTTGATGCTGTTGTGCATATTTACATTATGTCTGTAAGTGACGCAAAATCATGTCTCTTCGTGATGTTAATCTTAAAATTTTAAAGTCAAGACAACGGCTTGACATTGCGAATTTATGACTGTCGCGGATCAAAAATGCTCTGGCACATATTTAAGACTATAGGTGTGCTTTACAAGATAGCAAAGCTGTCAGCAATAAGTCAATTCGCGTATTACTTATTTAAAGCGAATGACAACTCCAACTGTTCTAATCTAGAAAGTTTACCGATTGCAATTCATTTGTTTCGTCGTATATTTTAATTTATATTCAGATTATTTTTTATTTGTATTCATTTTACAACACGCGGAGCATGGTTAAAATAGCTGAATCTAAGCTCTAATAAACAATAGATCTATAGTGAAATAACGAAATTAATATAAGGTTTACAGTCGTTGCTCCCTTTCACTCAATTGGAGAAAATGAAAAAAATTTTCGACACATCTGACACGTTATGAGTTTGTTATAAATCGAGAACGAATTACTTTTGCACAGACATTGACAAGTATGAAGATTATATGACTGTGTAATCGCGGAAGTGTAACAATATCCTACATGTTTTACACACAATAAAAAGGAAACGCACTTGCATGCGTGTGCAATGCAAACTGTTATAAGAAGTCAACGTGAGCAAAATACGACAGTGGCATCGTTATTAAATATCACGGCCATTACTCGGGCATCACCTTAAACGCATCTGACTTAATGCGTCAACCATAATCTCGATCCTCTTTCTCCCCCTGTATGCATTTCCAGGAATTTCCGTTCGACTTTAATCGTAATTAATATTACCATATATAATGTATTAACTGGACGATCCGGTTCTCTATCTACCAATGTAGAAACTTTTTAATTCTTTGATTCCAATATCATAAAAATTTAATGATCTCAATCTTCATTTAATCAGTCAATTATTCGTACGTAATATCATATTTAAAATGATTTTCCTATCTTGGAATATCTATATCATACACGTATCATACTATATAATTTTAACAAAATATTTGGCAGTTTTATTCATACTTAATTACTGTATATACCAAAAATTAATTGAGATTTTATTCAATAGCTCACGTTTGAAATAAAATCTTTATATTACAATTTTCTTCTTATTAAATATTTTGTCTTTAGAAACTTAAAAATATTATAATATATTCACAAATATCATTATTGTATTTGTATTACAAATATTATTATTTTGTTATAATTTACAATTATTTTCCTCTTATACTAAAACTCGTCATACGAGTGAACTTTGATATAATTCATAGGCTATTAGAATACACAATAGAGATTAGCCTAAATCTGTAGTAAAGCAGAATACGTGTTGCGGATAAATTAATTACTGTTTTCTCATAAATAATCCGCACTAAGCGATTCCCTTGCGTGGATTATCCTTCGTACGCTCACAACAAATTAACTAGTAATGACGCTTATTCATTGGCACTACGAAGGCGTGGTGAAATTGAACACGCTCGCTTTCAAATTGTACGTAGTTTCCTTTGCAATATCAGAGTGATCAATTTATTGTAAAAACGTTACGTGAAATAACACGTTATTTCACGATTGATCAATTTTGAATGTAATTCATGGCAATATTTGCCAATTATGCTTTGATATGAAAATGCTGAAAAGCTTTCTTTTTTGAGACAAAAATCAACAAAACACAAATAATGAAAGTCAGTAATAATTGTATCGTTCTTTTAAAGATCACATTGGAAATATTTTGAGTTAATTTTGCAACGAGATAAATTTTTAAATGTTTTCTATATCCTTTTGTAGTCTTTGATTGATACAGTAATGTTAATATAGTGATGTTTTAGATCAAAAGATCAAACATTGACAGTGGTCTGCACTACATGTTTATACTACAAATAGTTCAATATACTAATCTTTGCTAAGAAAAACCGAAGCATGTATCGATGCTTTTAAGGTATTAACCATTTCATGAAATAGTAGAGCTCAATTTTGTTGCTGCTGATTTAACATCATACCTATTTTTAAAAGTGAAAATTCCTAAAGGAGAAACTCAAGTAGTATTAGTGCACGATAAGCGGTATCAAGCCATTACGTCAGAACAAAGAATAAACGTTCGTTCAGTCGTAAATTTTTAGAGTACTTAAATAAGAATTTTAGCATTCTTTATAGCCATGAAACATTGCCAATGAATTTGAAACAAAATGTCATTAATATCATTAATGTTCCCATTGATCTATTCTAACAGAATTGGTTCTCCACTTGGTTCAGAATCCAATTTAACTTCCCACCTTTCATGAAGTCATACAAGTTTGAACGATACGTTCCTTGCTCCTTTGTTCGAACAATAAATTCACTCCATGAATAAAGAAGAATGTGTAACATTTATGTTCTTGTTAACTATTTGAACAAAGAAACTTGTTGAACAAACTTCTTGATCGATTTCCTTCTTTCTTACTTCTAGTCGATATAGAAAGTTTCACGTTTCACGCTACAATTCGCCACGATAATTATTTACGATCACGACGATTTTCTATAGTTCCTCCATCATGATAATCAGCAGGCAGAATTTATTTTATTGTTTTGAGCGTGTCTTATTGCAATCTAATTATCGTACATTACACGTTTTCAATTGAATGATTAAATTAATAGAATAGAATGTCGATTAACGTGTTATCGTTACATTTTATTCGAAGAATAACAGTGGTTGTATTAGTGAATTACAAGTTCATACTACGTAATGACCGTAAGTAGCACATTTTGTAGTTCATTCGATAATTAACACGTTCCGTGTGTTGTGTAACTATGTATCCTCAGAAGATGATAGAGAATAAGATCTTTTATTGATCTTAAAGGAAATATTCATTTCTTTGTAGAATATTTAAACTTACGTTTTTCCAACTACGTATAAATTTCTTAAAGTTTCATTCTATTAATAATTTGTATAAATATCTTCCTACGTTACGTTATTTTCTTACTGAAAAACTTCCATCGAATTACGAACATATTAAGCAACTCCTACGCATTACGTGACCCAAGTTGCTAATAAATTCAAAAGAATCCACAGTCTACTCTTGTACCTATGAACTACAACTTATAACTCGATATTATTAATTACCAACTTATCACGTAATAAATTCCAGATCGTAATTTTCATTCAGAAATTCTGAACTCTCGCACGTCATGCAAATTCACTGATAAATTACCAATAGAAAGAAAATTGATATCTCCAGCTCTCTCCAATTACAACTTATAAGTTACAGCTTGTTATTCGTAAATTTGCTTAATTGTATCAATAATTCATCGCGCGAGAATCAATAATTTAGTTCTCAGAATCCAATCTCAATTTGTCTTTCGTTCCTTCAAAACTACCTAAGCTTTCCAATAAACAAATGAATTGAATTAAAGAACTCAGTCCTTTATGAACAATAAATTACCAACACAAAGAAAAGTATGTACGTGTCCCCAGTTACCTACTTCAAAGTCCTCGGACAGGACACCTCGACCCACATTTCCCCCTTCGTCGTCATCAATTCCCGTCGTCATCAATGTCCGAACAACTTCATATTTCTCTAAAGACGAGGCGAGCGCAGAATACAGACGGCTTTGTTACTCCTCGTTGGTCTCGCTGCTCCTATCTCGATGGATCATTGCCGAGCCGAGGCGTAGGCAGCGACGCTTCTTCAAGGTTGCTCGGTAGCGATCTTACGCAACAGCACGCACAAATAGGTCCAGTTGAAACCGGGATGACCGGGTGTTCCAGGGATGTTACACGAGGACTCGACGGCGCGGAGTCTCGGGCACGCGTGGAAGCTTCGTCCGCATCCCTCGGCGTTCAAGGTTGATTTATCGAGGGCCGCGACGTTTTACGAGCTCGCCACGAGTTCGTTCGAAAGCGAATCCACCGTTAACCAGAGCGATCCGGCAACACGTGTTCGAGAGACGGGAGTGTCGATCGATCGGCCGATAAAGGTCGAAACGGAAGATGAATCGCGCGGATCGCGTATTAACCTCGCGTATTAACCTCTTGCGCTGGAATGACGTGCCACGCACGTCGAGAATTTTTTTGTCCCAAAAAATTGCAATATTTCCTCAGTTTCAATATATTTAATATTTATAATTAATATATATTTAATATATATATTTAAGTATAACTCGGCGAAACAAATAATAAATTTATTACCTCTCGATAATTTCTATCCAGTGATATCGTACCGATGAGTTCAGAAAGAGAGCGACGAATTATTGTATACGGTCACTCGTTATGGTCCGCAATCAGTTTACCAGCGCAAATGGTTAAAAAGAATCTCGATCGAACTGGAGATTATTTCGAACATCCATTTCAAAAATTAAAATTTAAGCCTCTAGATTACTAAAATTTTCGCTTCTGAACTTGAGTATTTTTCGTTCAAAATTATTATCATTTCGAAGGTTTTCCTTTTTAGGAATTATTATTATTATAGTTTAAAAAGAACGCGACGAATTATTGTATACGGTTCGGTCACTCGTTATGGTCCGCAATCAGTCTTGCCAGCGCAAGTGGTTAGAACTTGTGATCGTAGGACGTGTTGTGAAGAATTACGAAAAGAGGAAGGAATGAAGAAAGGAAGTGCAAGGCTGAGTTGAAACGCGTATTGTTCCTTGGTTGGTTATTCATGGGGTAGAATTTCTACGCGTTCACGGGGGAGTTTTAAAACTTGTAAATTGAATAATTGTAAATTGTATAATTGAATAAAATTGAATCGAATATAAATATTATACGTATAAATACAAATTTCTACGTTAATGAAATAATATAATATAAAGTATAAAAACAGTTTCTATGATTCTATATTTCTATATTAGTAGTTTCTATGATATTTGATACGCGAGATAATTTCCAAGTTTTTATATTTAAGTTTAACTCCATTCTCAGTCCGCGGTTTATTCGCGACGCGTCCGTGGAACGTGGGTTTGATTAATCCTTTCAGAATGCATTTGCGCAATAAATATCCTGCGATGCATTGTGGTTTATGCTCTG